AGGTTTCCCTTTGTGTCTTTTGCCTCTGCTTGTCTGTCACTGGCCCAGCCTAAGTGAGGTACTCATGCCTGGTCTAATCGGGTGTGCCTAGGCAGGTAGAAATATGCTGTATAAACATGGCTGCCAGGACTCTAACATCGTAATTGTGGGGATTGCTGGTGAGGGCCACGTCCTGAAAACGGAGGAGGGAGGCAGCCGGCTCCTGTAGGTTACCATTTGTTTCAAAGCCACCTTAGCCTAATTTGTCAGAAGTTTTCAGTTTAATCCTCTGAGAGATTTTCTTTTCACATGAATACATTTCTGCCTTTATAATGAAAGTTAGAATTATATTTTCAGATTTAGTATGAAACCACCTTTTCTAGAAGCCATAAAGTATAAACCATAAATTAAGGGAACTGTACTTAACTATATGAGACCCTGCTATCTAGACTTGCTGTGAGAAACTAGGCAAGCATACAAAATCAGAGTTCGGTTATAGAATTTACTTTTAATCTTTGAAAAATCAACACCTAACACATAGTAGATGTTCCATAAATGTTGCATTTTAATGGATTTTGTCATTATACATACGAAAGATTTTGTTTTGGTTTTTAATGACAGTTTTTTAAAAAAATTGATTTCAGAGAGGAAGGGGGAGAGAGAGAGAGAGAGAAAATCAATGACAGTCATTGATCAGCTGCCTCCTACATGCCCCCTACTGGGGATCAAGCCCTCAACTGGGCACATGCCCTGACTGGGAGTCCAACCATGACTTCCTGGTTCATAGCTCGACGCTCAATCATTGAGCCATGCCAGCTGGGCAGTGACACATTAATTTAACTGAATTAATGTAACTCAGTGACTTACACTACAGCATTTTGAATACTGTAGTTCATTAGTTTATTACTAGAATTGATCCATTTTATCAGTTTGGTTGATGTTTTTGAGAAGACTAGTTTAAAATTTCTAAATGTTTGCTTTTAATTTGTTCCTTGGATTTTTAATTTTAAAAGTCGTTTGGTTAAAGTCATAGTTGAGCTCTGGGAAGGAAGACTTGCCTGAAGACACAGGCACATTTATTCATTCATTATTCATTCATCCATTCAACAAATATTCACATGTGCTGGGTTCTGTGTGATGCTCCGCGCCTGTCCTTTAGGAGTGCCTTCCGCACTATTTAGGGTACTGATACATGAACAGATAATTAAGTAACATAGTTCTTTAATGGCAAAGCTATAATTGTGGAAAATATACAAGGAATAGAATAATGGTAAATTTTCAGATATGTCTGTACTTAATTTAAATGAGACCAAACTAAGTAAACTTCCTCTCTGGTTAAATGAATTAAAAATTATTTTTAAAAAACCGTTTTGTAAATGACCAGAGATCATGGTGGTTTTCTTTGTTTGTTCTTTTAATAAGAAGCATAAATTTGAATTTGATTTTTTCCTGATTTTGGTACCAAAAAATCTAAATTTAATTCTCTATATGTAGAAGCAAAGAATCTCTAGATGCACATATGCTAAAATCATGCAAAAGCTTCTGTTTCACATGGGCAACCCAGCTATGATTCCTTATGCAGTGTGTCATTGTTCCCCTGCCCTCCATTTGGGAGTGGAGTGGTACTGTTTCCTCTTATAAAATCTCTTTCACATTTTCTTCTACTTATCAATATCTCATAAGTCAAACTTTCAACATTCACACATTTTTATTAGTTATTGCCAGAGATACCAATCATATAAAAAAAGTTAAATCCTTTATTTTGATTTAAGAAAAGATGCTCTTTTATTTCACTGTCTTTAAATTACATTTCCCTTCCTTACCATCTACCTTTTAAAGAATTTTATAGATTTTTCTAGACCATTAGGCCATGTCTAATTTTTTGAAGTATCATCTATTAAGGATTATAGATTTGATGACTTAAAATTTCTCCATAAGGACTTTACCTCAGTATTCTAAGATGTCCATATTTTCTATGAGGAAAGTTTTAGCTCAGGCTAATTTTTTAAATTATCAGGAAATAGTCATGAAAAATGATAGCTTTCTTCTTATTATTATAATTTCAATGCTTTTTGTACTATTCACATGATAGAATATTAAAAACATATTTTGCTTGATATCATAACCTATTTGGGTTCTTTTTTCCCCCTAAAAGCAACTTGTTCAATAATTTTTAAACGTTTTCTTTTGAATATTTAAAAAAAAAAAATTTTTTTTAAAAACTGATTTTAGAGAGAATGGAAGGGAAAGGGACAGAGAGATAGAAACATTGATGAGAAACATAGATTGACTGACTCCTGCATGCCCCATACTGGGGATCAAGCCCGTAATCCAGGCATGTGCGCTGGCTGGGAATCAAACCAGTGACCTCTTGGTTCATGGGTTGATGCTCAGCCATTGAGCCACACTGGCCAGGCTCTTTTGGATATATATATATATATACACACATATATATATATATTATATCTTTATTGATTTCAGAGAGAGGAAGGGAGAGGGAGAGAGAGAGAGAGAAGCATCAATGATGAGAGAGTCATTGATCGAGCCCACAACCCGGGCATGTGCCCTGACTGGGAATCGAACCCCAATCGCCTGGATCCTAGGTCGATGCTCAACCGCTGAGCCATGCCTGGCCGGGCTCTTTTGGATATTCTTGATAATTCATTACCATGCCAAAAATCCAAGATCCTGCTACCACTTGGTGACAACATGGTCAAATTATTATTTAGTTTCTTTTTAATTGTGAAAATAAGCTTTTTGAAAGCCAAAACCCCAAATTCCAAATGATGGAGAAATAAAATATGTTATATTTATACAACCCAATATTATTTGGCAATCAGATGGATGAAGTACTGACACGTGCTACAACATGGATGAACCTTGAATACATTATGCTAAGTGAAAGAAACCAGTCACAAAAGTCACATAATGTATTATTCCATTTATATGAAATGGCCAGAATAGAAAATGAAAATAGATTAGTGGTTGCCAGGAGCGGGGAGAGAGGGGGAATGGGAGTGCCTGCTAATGGGTATGGGTTTCTTTTTGTGGTGATAAAAATGTTCTGAAATTACATAGTGGTGGTTGTATAACTCTGACTATACTAAAAACCACTAAATTCTATACTTTAAAAGGGTGTATTTTGTAATTTGTGAAATGTATCTCAATGTTATTATTTTTTTTAAAAGGAAATAGGCTTAAGGGCAAAAGAATAAAAAATTAAATTTAAAACTTGTAATCATTTGTGATGTTGACATTGTTATTTTGAGTATTTATATTGGTTCTCTAAAGAACTGGGATTTGGGGCCAGGTAAAAGGAGATACTGAGGTAAGATTGATGAGGGTAAATAAAAATTCTATGATTCTTGGGTTCAAATTGGAAGTGTCAGTTTGAGTTCATTAAAAAATTTCCTAGTTCTGTTCATTAAAAAGGCCTAGAAAAGCAATGATTAACTCAGTAATAGTAAGTACCCCTAGCACTTGTGGTTTTTTTCTCAATACCATTTCCCACATTTCCATAAAATGATCTAGAGTGCATTGAAGAAAAGGATAATTCCAGGTTTGGGTCAGGAGATATAAAATATGAATCTGGAACATTTTGTCATGCTAGAAAACAAGGGAAGTGATCAAAGACCAAGATTCTGTCAAAAAAGACTAAAGAACCAACTTGAAGGGATCCCACTGGCTAAAACTGGGCTATTGGAGCATTACGTTTATTAAAACACATCAAATATGTTAAAATTAGTGAGTTCATGATACTAAACAATAACATTTACCAATAAATGTTACATTTGGAGGTTACTAGGGAATCAGCTGGTGTAATGAATTTCCATTTACCCATTACCCAGCTTCCATCAATTGTCAACTACTGGCTAATTCCTATCTCATCTGTACCACCACCTACTTCTCCCAGATTATTCTGAGCAAATCCCTGACATATTTCATCACTAAATATTTCTACACATCACTAAAAAAGAGAAACTTAAAAAAAAAATCTCACCTCCATACCATTAAACCTAAAAACAATTAACAGTAATTCCTTAATCTTCTCACAGTCACTGTTCAAAATTTTCCAGTTGTCTTTTGTTTTTCAGTTTGTTGGAATTGAGATGCAAATAAGGTATAATCATCGTGATTGGTGATTGGGTGATAAATCTCTTAGCTCTCTTTTGATCTATAAGTTCCCCTTCCACATCTTTTTTTTTCTTTTAATATTTTTATTGATTTTTTTAGAGAGAAGGGAGAGGGGGAGAGAGAGAGATGTCAATATGAGTGGAACATCTATTGGCTGCCTCCTGCATGCCCCCTGCCAGGAATCAAGCCCAAAACCTGGGTACATGTCTTGACTGGGAGTCAAACCAGCAACCTTTCAGTTCACAAGACAGTAATCAACTGAGCCACACAGGTCAGGACTATAATACTATCTTTCAAAAAAAATTTTGTTTCTGTCTTATACACATACACACACACACACCCCTCTTTTGTTCCAACTAATGCTTATTGATATCTCTAGGTAACATTTGCACATAGATAGATAGGTTCTAGAAGAGGTTATACTTACTGCATTCTGAACAAAAGAAATCAATTTGCCTATACTTTCATGATTTTAGATGTATATCAAAGATGTTTTAGTTACATTGTGTGTTTAGTTTCAATTTTCAATGACATTCTTGAAATATCAGAAATTTTTTGATGTAGGAACTGTAGCGATCCTTGAGAATTAATAATAAGTTGTCCTTGTTTTTTCTACAGAATCTTTGTATATACCCATTGATTACTATTATTTACATGTAGTAATGTGATTGGAAATGGTGTGGGTGTTTTGCAGTTCTTGAAAGATTTCATACATGTTACATGTTTCATATATATTCTACTGTGTACTTTAAAAATTACATTTTTGGTTTAGTACACTATAATTAAGAAAAATAATTTTTAATCTAGAATGAAAGATTAAAAAAAAATCTTATGTTAACATATGCTCAATTTAAAACATTTAATAAATTGATTTTTCTCTTCCCCAGTGGTCATATGCTTTGGAAAAGCCCAACACTGGCAGCATATTTAATATCTCATGGTCAGTTGATGGCACTCAGATTGCTGGAGCCTGTGGAAATGGACATGTTGTTTTTGCACACGTGGTGGAACAACGTTGGGAGTGGAAAAATTTCCAAGTAACATTAACCAAAAGAAGGTCTATGCAGGTATGATTATGCCCATGGTTGATTAAACCAGCTTTTCACATTAGTTCACTATACAGATTATGGGACTATCTTCATTAATTATATTCAAATTTAGTTTATAAAAACTCAGTCACATTAGATATATTTTAACTATACTATTAGTGATCTTTTTCATGACATAAGGTAAGAAACTTTCACTAATATAGAGCCTTAGTGCCCACAGCTACTGCAGTTATGGGGTTGAGACAAGAATAGTGAAACTTGAAGCATTTAGAGAACATGTGGATTCAGCTGAGGAAGGAGGGAAGAAGCTATGACAGGTTAAATTTAATTCCTGGGCCTGACCCCAAGGCAGGCCTAACTTTCTTATCACAGTCGGGATTGCATTTTATTTATTTATAGTTGTATGAGTTTATTTAACCTCATTAATTTTTTTCCCTTTTAAGAATTACCTAAGGCAAGCCAAAGTGGGAAATAACAGTAAGTTCTTATTGTGAGTTAGGAAGAAAAACAGGTCATTCTGGAGTGAAATACTTTGTAGATTAAGACAGAAAGGTCGGGATGTGGAAATGGGAGGCGAAGGGAAATGTTTTACAAGTAGAGAACACCAGAGGGAGGGATACTCTATTCAGTTATAAGCCTTTTACCTAGTATTATATTTCACTTGTCTTTATCTCCCCTAGTGCCTTACATATAATAAGCACTCAATAAATATTTTTAAAGTAAACTGATGAAAGGTAGGAAAAAGAGGCAAAAGACAATGTGCCAATGGCAAACCCTCTGCCAAAGAAAGGGGAACTCTCCCTTCTCCTTCCTCTTTCTCCTGTCTGTATTAGTGGCCTCAGTCTTCAGTATTCAGAATTCAGATTGTTATAGATACTATACAAATTTGGAAACATATATCTTGTGATTTCTTGGAGATCTATTAAAATATTATTTAGCCTAAGTATCCAGATTTTAAAATTTGGATAATATGGTCACCAGATTCATAATGATTAGGTATACACTATAATTTTTCTTTGTTTTGCTTACTTATTTTTAAATTTTAAACTTATTATGGAGAATTTAAAACATGCAAAAGTAGACAGAATAGTATACTGACTCTCTATATACCCATCACCCAACCCCAACACACGATCAATACATGATCAATCCTGCCCCATTTATGTCCATACCTCTTTTCTCCCCTGAGAAGTGACAGCTCATCACATTTGCCATATTCTCTTCATTAGAAGCAAGCTGCTACTAGGTCCAGTCCACATACAAGTGGAGAGACTTACACAAGGATATGAATACAAGGAGGTGAGGATCATTAAGAGCCGCCTTACAAGTTACCTAACCACACATTTATGCATAACACAGAAATGCACTAACTAATGCATCTATTCCATATGCAATGGAAAACAAGCCCACCCCTCCCTAAAAGGAGGTAACTCAGATTCTTCCAGTTATTTCATCTAGCTCCAAATCTCCGGTGTAGAAAACTATAAACGTGAATTTTAATTATTCTTCTTCCCCTCCCCATATTCCCAATTTAAAATGATGAGAGGAAAATAGGACAACTTCAGTGAAAACAGTTGGAAAAGGGGAGAAGGGAAAACAACACAGTGATTACCAGGTCCAGAGCTAAAACATAGCTGGCCAGGAATATCCTAAGAACCTGAGACCCCCTTTTTCTTAGCAATCAAGTTAGTTACTTACTTAATTTGGCAACTCTAGCTTGCCTTTCTGGGACAGTATCCCACTTGGGAGGATTCCCTTTCTGGAGACTGTTCATTTTAGTAGCCCACTTAATTAATTTTTTTCAGCCTCTAATAAAAGCAATTGGTGATTTATTTATTGATTTATTTATATACCTATTTATAATTCAGACAACCTGCACAATAATATTCAGAGAACCCTAATAGAGTCCCATTATAGTGCAAATTCTTTTCTTCCTCCACTCCTCCCCCTCCCCTTTGGTAACCATCAGCTTGTCCTCTGTATCTGTGGGTCTGTTTGTTTCATTTTGTTTATTCATTTGTTTTGTTGTAGTTTTTTTTTTTAGATTTCACATATAACTAAATCATACAGTATTTGTCTTTCTTTGTCTGACTTATTTCACTTAGCATAATACACTCTAGGTCTCTTCATGTCACAAATGGCAAGATTTCATTCTTTTTTCTTGCTGAGTAATATTCCATTGTGTGTGTGTATACATACGTATGTACATATATATATAATTAATTAAGTGGGCTATATTACATATATATATAAAATCGCATCATCTTTATCCATTCATCTACTAATGGACACCTAAGTTGCTTCCATATCTTGGCTATTGTAAGTAATGCTACAGTAACATAAGGGTGCATATATCTTTTCAAATTAGTGTTTTTCTTTTCTTCAGATAAATACCCAGAGGTGGAAGTAGCCCACTTAATTTTGTTGTGAGGTGGGGTCACGGATTGCCAGAAGGACTGAATAATCACAACTTTTCGTTTGCCTAGTTTAGAGTTTTACAATTTCATTAGAAGCTTAGTAGGCTATTGGTTGATTTGTGTTTCATTAACTCAGAAACCAGAGTTCATGTTGAGTCATAATTCTTGAATTTGGATCTTAACCTGGCAGTAGGCTACATTGCCCTACCCGAATCCCTGTTCCTCAGCTTTTATGTGACCCAATAACCTTGAGAGAGAAGGTTTCTTAATCTACTCCTTGCCTCCAGGCTGGTGCCCAGTGGGTAATTTTTTTCAAAAGGGATAGTTGATATCTTTGTTAGGAGGAAGTGCCTGGAAGGGGGAGAGGGTACGGGGGAGGACAAGAGGCATTTCTCAGGTCTCAAGCTTACCTCTTTCCTGCTGCTCTTAATTTAGTATAGGACACAACTTTGATTTTTTATAGTTGTAGCAGTTCAAGATTATTTGATTCTTAGTCATTTTATCTCCTGTAAAGATAAGAGTTGATAATAGAGTGATTTTGAAAGTTAAGTGATGTATGCAAAACACAAATAAGTGGTAGCTATTGCTATGATTATAGGTACCTAGAGGATTAAATGAGTATTTTGGAAATGAGGAAACACAACTTTTGGACTGTGTCAATCTGAGGAGTATAAATATTGTGGTCAGGTACAAATATTAGGTGAAACAAGTATCAAGAGGTTAATCCTGAATCTTCCCTGAATTGAACAGAGCAATGGATGCAATTTAAAATTCTATCAGGACATTTTTGATGTGGGATTTGCTATACACAGTTTTGAAATTTTAACGGCAATTATCAGTGCATCTTTAGTTTTGGTATTATGGCTGAAATGTTGTATTCCTGTTTGGTTCTGGTATTCCAGATTCACAAAAAAGAGAATTCCTCCATGTGAAGCTTTAGGCAAATATGAGTTTTAAGAAATCTGTGTATAATTTGAATAATGGCAGAGGCCTATATAGTTAGGCTTTTAAATATTGAATGTTCCTAAACCTGTAGTAAAAGCCAGTTTGTTTCACTGGCTATTTATCATATTGCTATAAAGAAACTATCATATAACTTCCTTTAAAAACTTTTATTTCATTCCATTAGCTTTAAAATGTTTATAGGCAAGGATGGCATTTTGTACCTTTTAAAAAGTCTCTGGGAGCTCAGACTTCTGGAGAAGATGGTGTCATAAGTTCTCACTTGGAAGGAATAGATATACCTTTGGCTCCAAAGACATCAATAATATATGAAAAAATATTTTTAAAAAAGACTTATCTGGACTCAAAAACAAGATAAACATCTCTGTGGACCAGAAATGGAACAAAAATACAGAGTGTGGAGTGAAGTCTCTGACCTGCTTGACTCCAGGTCCAGAAGCCGGCAGGCAGTGGTGGTGAGGAGAGTGGCTCTTACTGGCTAATGGAACTAGAAGTGCTTAAAGTGAGACGAGGGGCCTGATCCAGGTCTCTGTTTGAAATCAGCATGGGGGTCTGTGGGGTAGCTCTCTTCTCCCCTTTATGAAAGAAGACTTTTAAAAGCCTGGATTTGAAGACAGACTCACAGGGTCACCACCTATAGTCATGACATGCTCGATGCTAGGGGGCCATTCACTTAGACCCAGAGTTGTGTAGTACACACCTGCAGCACACATCTGTGGCCTTCAGACAAAGCTAAGCGTTTTCACTGAAAGCACTCCACATTTTTGTTCAAGTCAAAAGCAGCTGATCCCTGAGGCCAATGTTTCTCCTGTAGCCTTCTCAAGCAGAGGAGTTTTTCTTCTTTACGCCAAGCATTACTGGGTCCGGAGGTCAGGGTAGGTGTCTTCCTTGCCCCTCATTAATGATTCCAGACCACAACAACTTCTTCCTCCCTAAAGAACTTCAGCTCCTTTGAACACCTACCATCAGACTGCAGTCATTTCCCCCACTCATTGAAGCGGGAAGCGAACATAGTCTTTCTTTGTCTCTAGTCCCGACATCACTCCTTTTTATTAAGAATTTTGAAAATGTCTAAAAGATAAGAACTATTTTTATTTTAACATAACCATAATAACATTTCACATTTCTCCAGTGTCTCCTAAGTGTCTTAACAGGTTCCATTTCTCCAATTATTTTATTTATTTATTTTTATTGTTTGTATCAGGAAACAGTTCCACATTACATTTTATTAATTTCTCTCTTCAGTCTTTTAAAATCTGAAACAGTTTCTTTTCCTTGTTGTTTGTTTGTTTAAAAAACCATATTTTCCTGTTTGTATCTCTATGGTATGATTACATTTAACATGTTCATCTAACCCCTGTATTTCCTGTAGACTGGTTATTAGATTTAGTCTTAATATACTTTGTAGGTGATGCTGTGCACTTTCCAATACATCACATCAGGAGACACTTATGTCTGCTTATCTCTCTTTTAGTGATGCTAAGATTGATCAGTGTGTTTAGGTGTTGTCAGTCTGATTTATCTATTATTTAATTCCCCATTAGACTTTTAGCATAATATTCCTATTAGCTATTGATGATACTTGTCTAGAATCATATTTCTTTGGGGTTACAAAATATTAATCTTGTAATTCTATAATTTCTTCTGCATTTATTAGCTACAATTCTTTTATCAAAGACTTTGCCTCATCAACCATTTGGTTACCCTGAGATGAGACGAATTTTTGATTATTTTCCTTTATTTACCAGTTTTCACATAATGAGTTGATTTCCTAGTATGCCCAATGAGTTTGTTTTTTGTTGTTGTTGATGTTATCATTATACATTTGCAAATTTTAACTTTTTTGATGTGTTTCAGCCTATTGCAGTCATTATTCTCTTGAATGCTCAAATGGCTTTGGCCAATTGGCTCCTGTGTTCTTTTGAGATGATCTCAGTAGCTTCCTTGCATTTTTCACAAGATGTTCTAGGCTCCCCTTATACATTTCCTATTCCAGACTTGGAGTCAGCCATTCTTCCAAGAAGGCCTTGTTCCTTTTGGAGGGGAATGTTATTTAGAGATCATGATCCAGGTGCTAGGTTTGCTCTTTGTTACTGGCTTGATCATTACTTCTAGATGAAATATATTTGTTTTTGACATAAAAGTATGTTATGAGTGCATACAGAGGTTTTGAGTTCAAATTTAAGATTATAGAGTTTCACTCTTGGTTTTTATTTAAAGCTTTTTTCTTTTACAAGAAAATTTTGGTTCCTGAAGATTCTAATGGTGCCATATATATATATGTATATATGTTCTAAAATATAGTTTCAAATAACAAATCAATATTATTCTAGTAATATGTTACTAAATATTGTTTCAGATTTCTTTTTTTAATGTAAACAAATTCATATATTTTTACATCCTTCCCTTTATTAGATAAAAGGTATCATACTGTACAGTTTTGCATCTTACATTTTTTTTTTTTTAAATATACCTTTATTGATCTCAGAGAGATGAAAGGAGAGGGAGAGAGAGAGATAGAAACATCGATGAGAGAGTCATTGATTGAGCCTGCAACCCGGGCATGTGCCCTGACCGGGAATCGAACACGGATCGCCTGGATCCCAGGTCGACGCTCAACCTCTGAGCCACACCTAGCTGGGCGCATCTTACATTTTTTACTTTATAATATATCCTGCAGATGACTCCATAGATCTTCCCTATTCCTTTCATAGCTGTATAGTATTCTACTTTGTGAATGTACCATAGTTTATTCAACCTGTCCTGTATTGATAGTTGGGCTGTTTCTAATCTTTTGCTGTTACCATTAGTGTTGTGTGTAGTAATTGCCTTGTATGTATGCGATTTCATAGTTTTTCTTGTTTATCTTTGGGGTAGAATTTTAGAAGTAAAATTGCTGAGTCAAGGAGTATACAGGTATATAATTTTGCTATCTTGTCATGATGATAATAATTTGTTGGAGGTGGGAGTTGAGCAGATAATAAAAATATAATATGCCTTGTAGGTAAAAGTACTGCAGATAAACACAAGAAGTTTGACTTTACATTCCTGCCTTTTTTCCATACTCTTTCATTCTTCATTAATACTGTAATTGTCATATATACTATATTTAGAAAGATGATATCATTTTGAGGGGAATTTAAAGAAATACTAAGTACAGTTACTCTCTTTTCCTCTATTTTTCAGCTCTTACTATAATATCTTACCCTTTCTGGTATTTGGTCAGAGATTAGATAAATTTTACTTGCCCAACATTTTTCCTAATTTTTTACAAACTATCCATAAACTTTGGGATTTTTGGCCGATACTACCAACTGTTAAAATCCTTGCAAACTTTATTTTGTTACAAGGATTTATAACAATTCTGACTATCAAAGGCAAATTTCCTTTTGTTAGCTGGTACTTAACTTTCTTATGTATTATCTCTTTGTTTTTACATATGAAAATATTTTCTCCCTATCTGTGCAGCTTGGTTTTTTTCACTATGCTATTGGTTTCTTTACTAACACCTCCTACTCTGCTTTGGTTTTTGAAGTTATTATATCCCTCTTTTTGGAACTTAAATTTTAAAGTAAAATCTAACCCTAAAAAGATATATTCTTACTATTTTGGGCAGAAATTACACAGAGTGGGGCAAAAGTAGGTTTACAGTTGTTCGTATGGGAAATAATACAATAATTTATAAATAATAATACAAGAATAAACTGTGTTTTGTGTACTCACAACTGTAAACCTACTTTTGCCCCACCCTGTGTAGTAGTCTCTTTCCAACTCCTGTCTGCCACACTCCTTTGACTGTGTCTCAGTGTTACAGCATTTTTCACCTGATTGTGCCATTGGCTTGCAGGTTGGAAATCTCTATACATCTTTTTCTATTTATTTCTAAGGTGTTTTCTGTGTCTTTGATTTTGTTGGTTGATTTGTATACCCCAATATGCCATCTTATGCCTGGTTCCTATTGAATTCTTCTTTTTTATATGATTGGGCAATCATGAGAGCATTGCATTTTTTGTTTTTCAAAATCTTGCTAAGTTATCTGATAAAAGTTTCATGTATTTTAATGTTGTTTGTTGGTATTTCATTTTTCCTTGTTTAGGTTCGTAACGTTCTTAATGATGCAGTGGATTTACTGGAATTCCGTGATAGAGTCATTAAAGCATCTTTGAACTATGCCCACTTAGTTGTTTCAACGTCTCTTCAATGTTATGTGTTCTCGTAAGCATCTTGCATTTCTTAAAAATCTAGAGTTTGGTCTGTGATGAGGAATTTATTTTTAATCTTTCACATCTACATGGTTTGGTTTAAACTTAACTTTCTCAAGATCTCACCTATCCTGAACTTAATCCCAGACAAGAGTGAGAAAAAGGGAGTCATGAGCAGTGAAAATAGATCTAATAAACTTTGTAAATCAAAGGTTAATAATCACTTTTAAAATGCTTCTGTGATATAGTGTTTGCTCTTACTTTACTCACAGTTCTAAGGAAGTTAATATAATTTGATTTCAAAGCCTAGAAAAGATTAGGAGCACCTGATAAATGATGCGAAAAGGAACCTCCATTGGAATAGGGGATAGCTAGCAGCCTCACAATAGGCTGAAATATATTCAGTAAGGACACAGGAGGTATTTAGGCTTAACATCACAGCCCAGTGTAATCATGGATGTTCATGGATCCAAAGTTGGGTCATCACTATGTTCAGAAATGATGAAAGCAAATATTATTCAGTATACTTTGTATTAGAAAGCAGGGAATGATTGAGCACATGCAAGACTTTCACCTAAAGCTTTAATAATATACTTGGTATTTTTAGAACAGTAACTCAGTATGTACTAATACATGTTGAACAGCTGACTTTTTGGAAACAAACAGACTTGATTTGCATTGTCTGCTGATTTCTGCGATGTAAGTACTTCTACTATGTGGCCGATTTCAAGCTATGAGTGTAGTGTCTGAGAGCAGAATTGAGGAGAGGTGCACAGCAGCAAACCATTATATAGTATTGCCACTGTGTGGACACAATAGACGTAAATAATCTCAAGTGCATAGATAAGCTCTACAAAAAGAAAATAATATATAAGCAACTCTATGTTAAATTTTTGTCTGATTTCACCAATAATTGTATAGATTATTGATTATTCAACATTATGGTTCAGGGAGTTTATATTTCCTTTACTGTATATATCTTAGTTGTCAGAAATCTCAGATATTTGGTGAGGGGACATTAAAAAAACATAACATAATCACTATTCTTATCAGCTCTCTTGACAAAGAATGAAGGTTAATTCTAATAACTTCATAAATGAAGCATGCCATGTTTTTTCTAAAATACAAAGGCACATCTTTATTATACCTGCAACCCCCAGATTTAATAATTATTTATTTGTTGTTTTGCTTTATACATGCACTTACTTATTGAAATGGGTATCAGACTCTGCATTAGCCAAGATTAATTTCCCAACCGTGTGTCTACTCACTTCAACCTTCCCTGTCCCTGCCCCATCTTCTGGATCTGAATATGAAATTTAAAGCAATGCTTCTCTGAAAGTAATTGAGAGAGATTTAGAATATATAGGAGTAATAAAACATATTTTAAACTGTGAAGCAACTGATTATTTGGAGATAGGTTTCAGGTTGTAAATGTTCTCTCCACTCATCCCTATCTTTGAATCATATTACACTATAAAAACCAAAGGAGTTGTTCATTTATTCACCCATTTATTTAATAAGTATTTATATAATATTTTACAGTTAACAGAATGCTTCACAAAATCTGTTTGGGAGACCTGTGGGAGAAATAATCATGTTTATCATGTTATCGTTATGTATTATAGTTTTTGTTTGCTCGGTATCTGTTGTATAGTAGGCAGCTAGCTTAATACTTGGGTAAGTTGTCATTATCTTCATTTTACAAATAAGGAAACTGATGCTTAGGGGGTACTAAGCTTATTAAAATCATATTGCCAACAGGTGATGAAAACATTTCTAATCCTGATCTGTTTAGCCAAAACCCATCCTCTTTTCACTATATCATGCTGCTACTCTTTTTCAGATGAAAAACAGTAGATGAGTTGCCTGAATCACAGAGCTAATAAATGACAGAACTTGGACTTATGATCCCTCAATTCATTTATTGTGATTCCTACGATAAACTTTTATTAAATGCTTTCTGTGCTAGGTCAGGGACCCAGAGTCTCTGTGTTCTGGTGAGGGATACGGAAATAAAGTGAAAGCCAACTGCTGTAATAGAAATATATACAAAGTTACTATGAAACTAGAACACTTAAAATGAGTACCTATCTCCTTATTAAAAAGTATTCAGTATTTTAAATGTTACCAAATATCCATTTTATTTGTCTTTCAGTACGAAGAACTGGAATACACCACTTATATTTGATCTCAAAGAAGGAACTGTTAGTTTAATTCTGCAGGCAGAAAGGTAATTTTTCATGTTTGACTATTGAATTTGGGGTGAAAATATTTCAAATCACTGCAAAGCATGGATTTACAGAATAGTACATTAGCCATTAGGTATCAGTCTCTTTCTACTATTTATTTTTTTAAAGAAGTAAGAGAATAATCTCTTAGATCAATGGTTCTGAAACTTTTTGGTCTCAGAATTTGCTTATATTCATAAAAATATATTGAGAGTTATATGTGGGTTATAGATATCACCGTTTAGTATTAGAAATTAAAATAGAGATTTAAAAGTTATTAGTTTATTTAAAATGATGAGAATAAACTCATTAGAAGTAAACATCAGAGAAATGACATGAGAAAATGAAAAACAGGCAAATGACTGAAATAGTTTGACCTCATGGTCCCTCTATTTTGTATTCTGTTCTGCTTTTTATTTTTAAATATTGGTTGAAACTCGTTGATTTTATAAGCCACTACTTGGCTGTGACCTGAAGTTTATAAAATAGTATCCTCTGCCAAGACTTTCCGTGTATACAGGACTAAGAAACTCCAGACCGATGAACTGGAGTGAGGATGGAATGGCTGTTGCTCAGGAATCTACACTTTTCCAGGACACTTGCCTTTCAAGTACAGTGATGCCCTATAGCATCACAGACTAGACTTGAAAGCTACAACCCAATGAAACCTGGAATAAAGTATGAAAATGTGATAGGCAATTACCTAGAAGAGCTACCTATGAAAGTATTTGCAATGAACCATGTGTTTGATTCCATATCCCTTTGCTGACCACCTAAGCAGCTCTTCATAGTGCTTATTATCCGGCTTTCTAGCCCACAGCGTTTTATAAATAGCAAACCAGAAGAGGAATGGTGCTGGTGGGCTGCTGAGGCTGACACAGTGACTGCCTGGCAAGGGATCATAGAGAAAACTTAAAACACAGAGCCGTGTAGCTGAGTGGCATAATTATTTTGATGCACCAACAGATTCTCATGAGTCAAAGTTATCAGTTAACTAGTTACTGAAGAGTGTGATCATCATATTGATGACCTTGATCGAGCAAGAAAATAATTGCCTCAAATTTTGTACCATCTGTTTAATGAAATTAAATATATGATTTATTTAGTTATATCATAAATTTTTAAAAGGAAAAGACATTTTGCCACTTGAAAGGTAAGATGTTAGCTGTCCAAAAAACTATCTTTCTGAAATTCTTTTTACTCAATTCCAAATAAATTTATTTATTTATATTATTGATAAATGTATTTATTGAATACCCTCTTAGTAAAAGCATATATCAATGGAATAAATTATTAGGTAACTAAAGAATATTTTGCTTATTGCCTATTGCTGGTCTTTTTTCGTACATTTAGATATGTTTGCCCCTTGAAACAGTGTTTACTCACAAAGAGATTAAAAGCTATAGTGTCTTGTTTAGAAGAGAAAATGCTTTTATTATTTATTTACTTATTTAGATCCTCACACAAGGATATGGTTTTTTAAAATTGACATTTAGAAAGAGAGGAAGTGGAAAGAGAGAGAAACATCGATGTGAGAGAGAAACATAGATCAGTTACCTCCCTTACATGCCCCAACCAACTGGAGATCCAACCTGCAACCTAAGTGGTACCCTGACTGGGAATCCAACCCATAAACTTTTGGTGTATGAGATGATGCTCTAACCAACTGAGCCACCCGGCGAGGGCAAGAAAATGCTTTTGGTACTTAGACTGAGAAAGAATATATACTAATACAATGTGCACTTGGTCACCATTAGCAAATATACACTAATGTGTAAGGGCCAAACCCTCTAACTAAATAAACTACATACTAATACTCAAGTATTAATTTAATTAAAATGTATGTATCTGTATTTCATTATATACTAACTTTTCATTTGTTTTTATGTTTATTTCCTATTCGTTTCCATAGCAAGAAAGAACAATTAGCAATTCCTGAGTCAAGAAATAGTTGTGAATCAAGGATATTAAAACCTTGAACATAAGATTAAAAAGTAATAATGTGTTCAGTATTGAAGAAACAGGCACTCCAGTATAGCAGTAGTAGGAGTGTAAATCAATACAACCTTTCAAAGGGCAGTTTAACAGTATGTACTAATGCTGTTTTATGATACAACTAGCATTGGGCATTAAAATCACTGAATGAAAATTGTGAGCATATTGCCTTCGAATAGAGACGCTTCTTTAGGAAAGGAAATGAATTGCAAGTGTAAATGGGAACGGGGTCAGAATTTTATTATATAGGGTGGTGATTATGGACATTTTACCTCTCCCACCTCCATCACAAAACAAGAACCTAGAAACAAACCAAAACAACCAGTGTCAATTTTTCAGGTGTTTGTATATTTTATTTTGTATATATCCATGTACTTATTTAATTGTAAGATTTAGATTTTTCCAAGGGATCAACTATTGTCTAATAAAAAAATACAGTAAACTCCTATTTGAGACTATTTTATATTCTTTATTTTTTAGACATTTTCTTCTTGTAGATGGTGGTGGTATCTATTTATATTCTTATGAAGGGCGCTTCATTTCTTCTCCAAAATTTCCTGGAATGAGAACAGATATTCTGAATGCACAGACTGTGTCTCTGAGTAATGATACCATCGCTATAAAAGACAAAGCTGATGAAAAAAGTAAGTACATTTTTATAATCTGTCAAATTTCCATGAAATTTGTTAACACTGTAAAATTTTCATACATTAACTTTCATTTTCTCATCTATTAATATATAACTTCATGTGAAAGAAGTATGAACATCCTAATTTGTCCAAATCGTAAATTAATGAAAGAACTGAACTATGTATAAAGTTGTCATACTCAATTTAACAAATAGATATTGTCACAACAATAACAAAGCTTCTTGGTAAGGAATAAATCTTTACATATTCAGTAGCTGTTGGTAGAGAGCTTGAATCCAAGATTGTGAGTCTGAAAAAGATTTGTTAATTTTTAAGTTTATTGGTTTTTTCAAATATTTCATTTTTCTTCAGTTGGAAACATAGTAAATATTGTGCTTCATTGTACTGTTTATTTTGCTTAAATTTATTTATTTATTTATTTATTTATTTATTTATTTATTTATTTATTTATTTAATTTATTTTTTAAAATATATCTTTATTGATTTCAGAGAGAGGAAAGGAGAGAGGGAGAGAGAGAGAAAGATAGAAACATCAATGGTGGAGAGAGTCATTGATTGAGCCCGCAACCCGGGCATGTGCCCTGACAGGGAATCGAACCCCGATCACCTGGATCCCAGGTCGACGCTCAACTGCTGAGCCACACCTGGCCGGGCTGCTTATATTTTTTAAAATTAATATTTTAAATTAATGATGTAGAAAAAAGTTATGAACAATTTTAAATTTTCATATAAAAATCTGGATCACATTAGTATTTATAAATATCTCAAATGTTTTACAGTTGCATAGTACAGTAAAACCATTTTATTAAGGCATTGCTGTATCACAATTTCATTTACCCAACAAATATTATTGAATGCTTACTGTGTGCCAAGTGCTTTTCTAGAAGTTGAGGATACACTAGTGAACAAGACAGACAAATAAATATATAACAAATAGCTAATGATACATGCTATGAGCAAAACTAACGCAGGGTGAGGGAACAGAGAACTCTGGCGGTGGGGGAAGGGAATGACTATAGGACAAGCAGGTGCACGGGTTCTGAGATGGGAGTGATTGGCATGTTACGGGCACTGCCAGAAGGCCGTGTGACCAGGTCTGCGTGAGTTGGGCAGAGTCTCAGGAGAGGAGGGCAGAGATAGATAAGCAGGAGCCAGATCACGTCGAGACATGGCAACGGTGAGGTCATGGGAATGAGGGAATGAGAGGAGGCAAGCGTGTTATCATCGGCTTTTATCTTGGATGAATGAGATGGAAAAGGAAGGAGGGAGTGTAGAGGGGTTCCCCATCCAAGAGTTCTGTTTTGCTCTTGATAAGTTTAAATACCTCTTAGACACCTATGCATGGATGGAGAGTAAACAATAGGATAAACAAATCCAGGGCTCAGGAGGGAGCTGGGTGCTAGAGGCATAAATTTGGGAGCCAGTGATGTACAGATGGTAGGTACCATGGCATGGAATGAAATCACTTAGGAAGTAAGTACAGAGAGGTGAGAGGACCAAAGGCCAAGCATATCAATATTTAGGGATGGAGCCACTCAGTAAGAGTAAGAGTGAGTTATTTCCAAAGCCTAGTACAAAAATATTAAATTGTTTTCCTCTGTTTTTAATAGGTAAAAACACTGTTCATTATTGTGATATGTTCCCAAAAAATCTGACTTGACTGTTAATTTTATTAGTTCATGCCATGGAGGACCTAATTCAGGACCTAAGAGAATTCTCTCACCTTTCAGTTTCCAGTACTTTGAAATAGCATCACCTCTCATACTGGTAGGAAATATAATTCTCCCAAATAAAGCTATTTTATTTTTTCTTTGAGAGAGGACATTTGGTAATTGTTTTGTTTTTAAGGATGTCCTTTCTAGCTAAAGGAGAAGAAAAGAGAATGAAATAAAATCATTTCTAGATAGCAGACAGATTTAAGATAGCTGTGTAACTGTTAATTATAATTAGAAAGTCAGATTTTTGTCTTCAGTAAACTTAAATTTGAAAACCTCAGTTATCACTGAGTTGTTTACACTTTTCTTATCGAACACCACATATTTTAGGCAGAAGCTTTAATAAATATGTGTTTCCAATTGAATATACCTTGTTCTGAAAATTTCTATAGTTAATTTATATTGGTGCATATTTCATTATTCTTTAATCCTTTGATAATTCATATAATTTTAGAAAGAATTGTAAACATTTTCAGAAATACGGATTTATATGCCAGTAAATTTTATTTACATTAATTTTGATTGAACAAGATAGTCATGTAATTTTGTTTTGATATAAATAGAAAATCAAAAAGGCTAAAAAATTATTGTAGAACTGATATAAAATGAGAAATTATTTTCTTTATGTTCCCTTTTAAAGAAACTAGTACTGATTAAAGGCTAAGTAGAGGTATATGCTAACAATAGAAAATACAGTTGAAGTACCTAAATCTTTACTTTGGAATTTTAAAAATTTCCTTTCAAGGGGGCCATCCACAAGTAAAATCAGTGGTTCCTTCTTAATTTAGGAGCTCCAGTACAGGCAGGATTCTTGAAGCAAGCACAGTGTTCTCTGTTATGGGAGGTGCTCAATAAAGACATGGTGAATGGATTTGAATGTGCCCCTGTGGGTGCCTGGTGAAGCGGTAGAGAGGTCCTGCTTTGACTTCCTTCTCCCACCACCTTGCACAGATAGTGTGAGGTTTTGTGGTGATCATTTGAAACAAGCGTCTGGGTATCAGGGGTGGAAGTTAGAGAGCAGTTACTTATGTTTAGAAGCAACTCTTTCAGTTCCCAGCTCCTTAGTTGTTCTTTCTGCCAGTTTCTGTTACATGGTATCACTGAAACACAGGTTCAAACTCCCATAGATCAGGGCCTCTTAGAGTTGTGGAAAAATAGACGAGTTCATCCTTACACCTCCAGCTCTTTATAATATGCACAATTAGCATATGGATGGAGGGCTTTCTTTTTCAAAGTTGTTAGTTTGTATAGCTATGAAAACAACTTTGTTCAGCCAAGCCCAAAGCATTTTTTAAAATGGAAGCCAAAATTTTCTAATTTTATCATCTTTATAAATTGTCCAATTTTTTTTCTGACTGCTCATACCACTTCTGTCTTTTCATTTCTGTAATACTATGTGTATGTTCAGTTATATAAAATTACTCCGTTTGGGATGACTCGGGTTGAAATAATTCTAGAATTACTTAAAGAGAATCACAAAAACACTCCAACAATCTTTTTCCCCTCCAACAATCTTTTTAAAAGAGAAATTGCACCTACCAATATCACTGTCATGTTAAAAACCTTTGGTGAAGCAGAGAATGGAGCAGAGGCAGCTCTGTTCCACCCAGGGTATCCTGTTAGCAAACAAGGACACTTCTGTCCCTCAGGAGAATCCGAGGGTTCAGGTTCTCTGCCAGGAACCCAGGACAAGCGCCAGACAAGGTATACATAGTAGTGTACTGACCACAGAGAACTGAATAGTAATAACACATTGCCTGGCATAACAGTAGGTACTTGACACGATTTTCCTTTGTGAAATCATGATTGTCGGTGGTGGTGTACCAGTCTAAATCTGTTATCAAAGTTAGAGATTACATCCGGATTGGGACTTGCCATTGCTGATGCTATGTGGCATTGAAGCCAGACCATTAATAACAATTTGAATTAGGGAATGTATGTTTTAGGAAGAAGGATCTAGTTGCACTGTTTTCCGAAGAAATATGACTCCATTAATAAATAGTAATTTGATGCTGCTGCTCTTCTGTGCTGATAGATACTCTGTGGGCCACCGAGTTAATTATTTCTCATGAGGATTATATAATTCCATTGAAGTTTACCAATAAAAATTCTAATATAATACATTAACTAATGTCCTACTTTTTTTCAAGTAATCTACCTCTTTGAGGCATCAACCGGAAAACCATTAGGTGATGGAAAGCTTCTTTCTCATAAGGTAATGGACATTAGCTGTTTCTAATGTAGACACTATTTACTTCCTTTTTAAATTAATGTTTTCATTTTAAGGAGGAAAATATAGCTATATATGGAAATTAATTGCATAAAAAGGATCTGACTTATATGTCTACTGTCCAGGCTCCTTTCTGCTTTTCAGTAAAATGTTCTTTCTTGATTCAACTATTTGTACCTATCAGTAAATAAAAATATGTTTATATTTCAGAATACCTTGCAGTTTTCCCATTGACCTGCCCTTAGCCAGCATTTTCTTTAGGTTTTAAGACTGTAGTTAAACTGAAAAAAATTTCTATAGAAGTACAAAAAGACACTGAATTGTGAATTGCTTATTGGTTTCTGATTTTTAGCCTTAAAACAAACAAAGGAGCACGTTTTATTGAGTTATCTAATAAGTGCTATATTAGGGTCTAAAGATGCTTTTAACTATATTGTTCATTGCTGCTAGTGAAGTGTTACTCTATATATTATTTTCTTCTTTTTGCAAGTTTTAAATTTGAATAACAAATACATTCATATGGTTCAGAAATCAAAAATCATAAAAAGTATACAGTGAAAATGTCTCCCTACTACACCTGTTCCTAATCAGTAGTTTCTTTCTAACAAAGAAATGTAACCACTTTATTAATCTCCTACATATCCTTCCAGAGATTTTTAGTGCATATACAAACAAAACTGATATGTTCTTTTTTAAAAAATTATATTTTTAGTGATTTCAGAGAGAGATGAAGGGAGTGGGAGAGAGAGAGAAACATCAATGATGAGAGGGTCATTGATTAGCTGTCTCCTGCACACCCCCTACTGGGGATCGAGCCCACAACCCGGGCATGTGCCCTGATCGGGAATTGAACCACAATCTCCTGGATCATAGGTCGATGCTCAACCGCTGAGCCACACCAGCTGGGCCTGATATGTTCTTTTCCCCCTCTTTTACAAAATCGTGAAATACAACTCTGCACCTTGCTTTTCTCATACAACACTAGTTCTGGAACTCCTTCCATATCATCATATAAAAGTACTTTTCCAGTCTTTCTCCTCCATCCCCCATCCACCATACATATTACATTTTATGGATATATCTGAATTTCTTTAACCTGTACCCAAGTGGTGAACATTTGTTTCCAGTCTTTTGCTTTTACAGTATTGCCAAGATGACTTACCTTGCAGATATCTTCCTGCACAAGTGTTAGTGTATCTGTGGGATAAATTATTTAAATGTTGGGGGGAGGTCAAAGGATATGAGCATTTGTAATTTTAATAAGTATTGTCATCTTGCAAAGAAATTGTATCAATTTATGTTCTCCCTAGTAATACGCAGATGCCTATTTCCCCCCAACCTCTTCATTGTAACCATTTAAAATCAAGACTAGGAAAGCAGAATTTTTCCGTTTCAGTAGGGTTAAGCATATAAAAAGGGAGTAAATTTTTCAGCTTTTCAGGATATGCTCATTATTTCTGTTAGGTTGAAAAGGGAGTCATTTAGTAAGGTTTAATAAATATTCCTTATAGTTTTGATAACTCTTTTTCTAGGACACTTTTCCTAAGGGTAAGAAAGCCATGATTTCGTATTGTAAGAATGGAGGTGACTTCCTCATCTCATGCGTCACTCAGTTGCACAGGACATTTTTATCTTTTTGTCTTGTATGTAATACAAAGGACTTTAAAATTTGGCATTCTGTAGAAAAAGTCACCCAATATGTTTTATTTCGTAGTATAGGAAGAAAACAAAACCCAAGATCTACGCAAATAAATAACAGAGCCAAAAGGGGAACTCAAGCCTGCCTTTCACTCATTGAATATTAGCGTAGGGCAAGGGAGAAGGTTCACACGAGCATGCAGCTGCTCTCACGTCCTGCTGCCAAGAGGGACTCAGGAGGAACAGAAGAGAAGTGGGGAGGGAGGACTGGACTGTGGAAAATGGTTAGAGAGAACGAGAGGAGGGAACGCTCCTCCCCTCACGGTGTGCAGAGGCATGATTACTGCCAGTCTTTGCTTTCGAATTCCTTTTTTTTTTTTTATATCTCTATTGATTTCAGAGAGAGGAAGGGAGAGGGAGGGAGAGAGAGAAACAACAATGATGAGAGAGTCATTGATCGAGCCCACAACCCGGGCATGTGCCCTGACCGGGAATCGAACCCCGATCGCCTGGATCCCAGGTCAACGCTCAACCGCTGAGCCACGCCCAGCTGGGCACTTTCGAATTTCTTAGGAGGGTCATCTCTGTTTAACAATGTTTAAAAAATATGGGGTGGGGCAAAAGTAGGTTTGCAGTTGTTCGTATGGAAAATAATGCAATAATTAATAAATAGTAATACAAGAATGAACTCTGTGTTTCACGTATTCGCAACTATAACCCTTCTTTTGCCCCACCCTGTATACTAGGTACTTTTGTGGGGATGGTACGTAATTACTGTAAAGATCAGTTTCTATAAAAGGTTTCCATTTTGAAAATACCTAGAATTCTATTTCATGCATACCTTCACATACATGTCCAAAATTCTTTCCTTAAAATACTGTTGGTGATATTTTCAAAGAAGAGAAGATATATACAGTAAAAAAAAGTGGTATGAACTGGTATATGGCTTATCCTGATCCATCAACTTGGATAAGGGTGTATGCGTGCTTTGTTTTTTTTTAAAGATGTTATGATAGTATACGTAGATACAGTTACTTGGTGTGATCATGATTCTTGCTGAATTCACAGATCCTAGCAAGTCTTCAGACATAATAGGCAGTAAACAAATACTTCTTGAATTGAAGTGAAATAAATCCATATGGAGCCATTTTAAATTATGAGGAAATTCATTTCACTAGGTAGTATAATAATATAATTAACGCAATATACCAGAAATACATTGCTGTTACAGACAAATCACTAATCGTGCAGTCAGAAGTCTGTGTTGTAAATTCTAGATATGCTTGTTACTAGATTTTTCTGAGCAAAATCAATTAATCCCCATGGATCTCAGTCTTCTCATCTGCAAATAAGTATAATAAAACCTACATCAGAAGATTGTTTCCTGTTTCACAAGAATGTGAGAGAATATATAAAATTTAAGACTCTAAAAACATAAAATATTTCCATAAATCAAGTCTTACAAATCTCTAAAATATAGGCAACATACTTTGAGTAAATTTTGGTATGAGGAGCTTAGTCAAAGTAGATGTCTCATGTGATACCCAGGCTTGCCTCGTCCTTTCGCCCTGACGACTAAGAGGGAAGTGTTTTTCAGCTTACAGAGTTTCAAAATATGCATTAGTCTAGTGTTTTAAGGGGCATCTCTCCCTGGCAAATAAAAAAAAGTACATATTAGTATAGCTTTTGAATTATTAGTGTTTTAGCAGCTTAAAATTATTTGACAGTTTATTACTATAAGTCAGGGAGTGATANAACAGACAGTTTATTACTATAAGTCAGGGAGTGATATTTAATTGATCTTTAAATAAACAAATGTTCTTTAAATAAGTTTTTTTTAATCCTCACTCGAGGATTTTTTTCCATTGCTTTTCAGAGAGAGTGGAGGGGGGGAGAGAGAGGGAGAAGCATCAGTGTGAGAGAGACACATTGATTGTTGCCTCCTGCATGCACCCCGACTGGGGCTGGGGATGGAGCCTGCAGCCGAGGCGCATGCCCTTGGCCAGAATTGAACCTGGGACCCTTCAGTCTGTGGGCCAACGCTCTAACCATTGAGCCAAATCGGCCAGGGCAATAAATATTCTTTAAATAATTAAAATGATCTGATGGTTAAGCACTGAAACTAATCCAGTATTTTTTTTTTCAATTTTAGAATGAAATTTTGGAAATTGCTCTGGATCAAAAAGGACTTACCAATGAGAGAAAAATTGCTTTTATTGATAAAAATAGAGATCTCTATATCACCTCAGTGAAACGATTTGGGAAGGAAGAACAAATTATCAAGCTTGGTAAAATAATTGTAATACATTTAGAATTTTAATTACTTTCAATTTTCTTAGATCTACTCTATCTGTCATATATTATACTAAACAGCTTACTTGCTTGAATGGATCTATGAATGCTTTGAACTCATAACATTTATTAGCTACGTAATTCTATTTTAATAGCAAGTCTTTAGCTGCCACAGCTAAATTGGCATTGAAGAAAGACTTACAAATTAAAAATATAGTGGTTCTGCATAGGATATTCAAATATTTCCATCACTTCTTATGTGAATTTTTGTATGTGTTTTCACCATTATACAATCAGAAAATAGAGTCATACCTACCAGAAATTACTTGGGGTCTTATATGTGAAGTGATTTTAAAGATATATTTTTAATACTTACTATATAGCTGGACTAATAGTATATTAACATTCTTTTTAAAAATAAGGAACAATGGTGCATACGTTGGCGTGGAGTGATACATGCAATATCCTTTGTGGACTTCAAGATACTCGATTTACAGTGTGGTATTACCCCAATACAGTTTATGTGGACAGAGACATTTTGCCTAAAACATTATATGAAAGGGATGCCAGGTAACATTTTACTGCATAGAATTATTTATTATGGTAAATAAAACTAATAGAGTGTCATGTCTTTGCCTCTATTTTAAATCCTGCAGGTATCTTTCACTTTACTCAGTCAACTAAGTACTTTGTTCAGCTAAACCTAGCTAAGTGAGATTTAAGTGATGGAATCAAGCTGAAAGTGTTATGTAATACTATTATATATATTTACTTGTTTCTTATGTGAATACAATGTCCCTTATGTGAATATAATTTTCAAGCTTAATTTTGTTTAATGGTAACTCTGGTTGTTTTTTTTCAGCGTGGTTTAGTGATTTTAATATAGGTACTCTTAAGATTTTTCAGTGATACACAACCTTGTGACAGCCTTTATTCTGTCCCAGGTTATCATTTACTTTAAGACTTTCAAGAGTGTATGTGCTCAATTCAATCTAGAATTGAATTTGAAATTAATATTAAAGATAAAAAATGTATAAAATTACTGAAAATGTGTGTTTTTAAAATTTTATATGCTTTAGAAAATCAAATACATTTATAATTCTAAATTCTCTAAGAAATAGCAGAGAGGTCTCTCACTCTTGACAAAATAGGAATACAAAGGCTTTTCAACTCTAAACCTTAGCTTAACTTGCAAATCTCTTTTGAGTTCACTTGTAATATTTAAATTTAAGACCTTAGCAAAACTGGACAGGCATCATTTTAAAAGTTTTTAAACTAATGAAGAAAAGTTAGTCTCTTTACTTAAACTTCATCTTTTTATAGTGAAGAAATAATCTTGAAGTCAACTTAATTTTTAATGGCTTACACTTTAACACTTTAAAAGCTCAAGCTCAGTGATTCAATCATTTGTGTGATTTACCTTAGGACTGAGGGGAAAAAGTAATTTGAAATGCTTTTAGGACTAGCTCGCACAATTGCAATAGTTTTGCCACGTTAAATAGTATATTTTGCTCCAAGTGTAAATAAAAAGTTAGATTAAAATATTTATTTGAAAATATACACTCAGTGGAGTTAACTTTTTTGGAGGTGCATTTTGGAAGTTGGATAGTTTGTATGTATGTCAGGGATCAACTCCCCAAATTTAATATATATGAAAAATTTGCTCAGAATATAAATTGCACTTTGCTTCTTTTTCTACAGTGAATTTAGTAAAAATCCCCACATTGTGAGTTTTGTTGGAAATCAGGTAACTATAAGAAGAGCCGATGGCTCCCTGGTTCACATCAGCATATCTCCATATCCTGCCATTCTCCATGAATATGTGAGCGGTTCAAAATGGGAAGATGCTGTAAGACTTTGTCGCTTTGTTAAGGTACTTACATTTCAGATCCATCGTTGTGTATGTATTGTGTATTAGTTTACACAGTGTATGTGCAAGATGAGAAATGACAACAGTTAAGGGCTGGAAAAATATGCAGTTGGGATCGTGTCTCTTTTTATAAGTGAAGATATGAGTGATTCAGGAGGACAGATGCTTTGTGATTTATTCTCTGAAGAAGCTGTAACCTAAGTGGGTAGTTTCTTAATATTGATATAAAAAAGTCTTCAGGGGAACTTTTTTAGAAGTCAGATTCCCAACTTGTAGCCCCACAGAGATTCTAATTTCTTAAATCTGGGCAGAGGCCTGGGCATAGTTTCTATGTTCCTCAGATGATTTATGCAGCTAAGGTTAAGAATCTGCTTTAGATCAGCATTTCCCAACTTGGTTGAATCCAGGATTTTCCAAATGTGTTTGGCCATAGAACTCTTTTGTTGAACATTGGTTAACATTCCTTAAAATACACTTGTGTGGAATGACTTTTTGATGTTTTTTCTTACAATGGGTTGCTGATGGCAATCTGCTATACTAGCATTATCCAAAAACTTTACTATTCCTCAGTTTCCCTATATGTTGTATTCTTCGACATCTCATTAAAAAGACTGAAGGGTTTAAACCTTAAGTTATCTTAAAAGTATATTGTGAGTTCAAAAATAAATCTCTGATACTTAGAAAATTTTAAAAATTTATTCAAAAGTCATTCTCTCTGTTATTAATACATTTTAACAAAGTAGCCACAATGAAATTTCTACATCATTAACTTATTGAATTATTATTTCTTTCAGTGCCATGCTCAGTAATTTTTAATTTTTTATTAAAATATAATTTTATTATATTTTAAATCACTGCTTATTTTAAAACTTCAGCCATGTAGTTGATATAATTATCCTTATATTTCATTTTAGGAGCAAACCATGTGGGCCTGCCTAGCAGCTATGGCAGTTGCTAATAGAGATATGAATACTGCAGAAATAGCCTATGCAGCAATTGGTGAAGTAAATAATGTTCACTTATGTGTATATGTGTGTGTGTTGCCATAATTTGTTATATTTCTGTTACTGTCCAATTCAAATATTTTTTCTTTTATTAGATCGATAAGGTTCAGTACATCAATTCTATAAAAGATCTTCCATCTAAAGAATCAAAAATGGCCCACATATTAATGTTTAGTGGGAATATACAGGAGGCTGAAATATTACTTCTTCAGGCTGGCCTTGTTTACCAAGCGATCCAGATCAATATTAATCTCTACAACTGGGAAAGGTAATAAAAATAGTGTTTAGCAATTCCGAACCAGATTGATCTTACTCTTTTACCTACCACTTTAGGAAATTACATTTTTCACTGTACTTAATAGTTTTCTAACATCACAAAAGAAGTATTCATGTTCATATTTGTGAGTAGTTTGTCATTAAAGATTTATGTCTTATCTGAACTTGTGATTGGATTAGAAGTTGGGGTGTGAAGAAGAAAAGAGAGTCTAGGATGTATCCCAAATTTCTGATTTCAGTAGATGAACAGATGAAAATACTAATATTAGCAGATTTGGAAGGGGAAATAGTTCAGTTTTAGGCATGTTGAAATTGAAATATTTCTGAAGAAATATGTGATAATAGTTGATTAAATGGACCAGGAGCTCATGGGAAAGATTTGAATTGGAGATGTAGATTTTGGAGTCATCAGGAAATGGATAGTGGTTGAAGCCAAATGAATGGATGGAATGGACTGGGGAATGTGTGGAGTGAGGAGACAACATTTAGGGGATGAGTGAAAGAAGAGAAGTTCACTGGAAGATTGGAATAAAGCAGTCAGACAGAGAGAAGAGCCAAGAGAGATTTGTGATGCTAAGGAAGAAAGCTGAAAGGATTTGTAGTAAGGAGTGGTTGGTAGTAACCTTCCCCCACAATTAGGTTTTGGGACAGATTGATTTCTAAGACAGAGTAGCATGCTGTTCCTTCCCTGTGATGTGTTAGGTTCCACCGCTCATTTTCTCAGGTATGTCTCAGTGAACAGGGTTGTAGTGCTTATATACATACACCTGAAGTTACTATGTTATAAAATTGGCATGCCTACTTTTCCAGGTTAGAAATATCTTCCATCATCTTTGTTTCTCTCTAGGCTCAAATATAACCCATAAATCTTTTAATTACAGTCCCCTTAGATTAGAATTTTTATAGACATCCTATCTCTACCTTTCCCTTGAATAGAAGTAACAAGAATGGCAGACAATTAATTTTGTCATTGACATAGTCTCTTTATTTAATTTATGTACTAACAATCTATTTGCTATTCATACAATTCAGCCATTCTTTTTAGGTCCTTTATTTAGACAAATTTGTTGTCATTGTTTAACTGCACAAAGAATCATGAAAAATATTTTTGGTTCTACAAACATGAATAAGTTATTGTCTTTCTCCTCAATTTATTCTTAATTCATAAATTTTAAAAAACTAATTTGGAAAGAGACAGTATAACTACTGTTTTTAAAACTCTTTATTAAGTAATTAATAAAAATTGTGTATACCATTACCAAGCTATGAATTACATGAGAAATAGGAAAGAATAATGTTTAAAGCATTCTTTCAACCAGTATTTTTGAGAAAATATTAATATTGATAAGTGTTAGAAACTACTATTTGTATAGCATTCTGAACACTGTACAGTATTTTTTAAAAACTTTTGAAAAATCTTTAGCTTAAAAACCTTATAACCTAGTTAGGAATTCTGTTTTATTATCATTAATAATAGTAATTCAAATGAAACTAGACTACTGTCTTATACCATACACAAACATTAACTCAAAATGGATTAAAGACTTGGAATGTAAGACCTGAGACAATGAAATACATAGAAGAAAACATAGGCACTAAGCTTACGGATATTGGTCTCAGAGGTGTTTTTGTGAACTTGACCTCCAAGGCAAGGGAAACAAAAGCAAAAATAAACAAATGAGACTACATCAAACTAAAAAGCTTCTGCACAGCAAAAGAAACCATCAAAAAGAAAACAAAACAAAAAGGCAGCCAACCAAATGGGAGAAGCTATTTGTAAATGATACCTCCAATAAGGGGCTAATATCCAAAATATATAAAGAATTCATACAACTCAACAACAGATAACAATGTGATTGAAAAAATGGGCAGAGGACCTGAATAGACACTTTTCCAAGGAAGACATACAGATGGCCAACAGGTGTATGAAAAGATGCTCAGCATCACTAGTTACTAGGGAAATGCAAATAAAAACCACACCGAGATATCTCATTTAATTAAAGTAAGGGATTTAATTAAAAATAAAATAAAAGTACAAGACAGTAAAAAAGCAACAGTGAAGCCTGTGTTTATTGAGTGCTTATGATATGCCAGGAATTGTGTTAAACACTTTCCATATGTCATCTGATTGGTTATCACAGCATTTTACTAATGAAGTAGCTGAGGCTTACTCATAACTTGGTGGCAGATCTAGGATTTGAACTTAGACTTCTAATATCAAAGAGGACTTGAATTTTCTTAGTATCATCAAGCAATTAGATATGTGCTCTTGGTACCACTAAGATTTTTTTATTGGATTGCTGTTTATCTCTTTCATTGTTTATCTTTGCAGATTTTTACATCGTCTTTCCCCTTTCAGATTATAACTATACACTTATTTAAGGACAAATGTTTTATGTTACACATACATAGTAGGTCTTAATACTCATGCGCTTATTCTCTGTGCAATAACCTTAATCATTTCCTAGTGCTCCTCTACAAACATTAAGTGTGGATACATAATAGTGCGTCAGTATCCTAGCAGGACGATGAGGATATTTGCCTCTGATGGCTTCTATTGATGGCTTATAATGTATATAATGTATATGATGCCCTCTGAACATTTCTTGTACCTCCTTGACTTAAGTAAAACTTACCTCTTCCCAGAGGACACTGCTTTAAAAAACAAACAATCTATCTTTTGGTGAAGTATCTGGTCATTTTAAGTGTACTTGCTCAAAAAGACTGTTGAATAGGAAACGGGCAAATGCAGTGGTGAAGAGTGGGGGCTTTGGAATCAGACCCTGATTTGACTTCTGGTTCTGCATGTGTAGCTCTGTGATCTTGGACAGGTTACTGAGGCTCTGTAAATTGTAGTTTCCTTATGTTGAAAATGGTGATAATAAACCTTGTGTTTATTGTCAGGATTAAAATTGTAAAAATTTCTTAGCATACTGCTGACATATAGTAAGCTAAAATAAGTGGTAGCTATTATTCATTTAAAAATATTTATTGAGTTTCTCTCATGTGCTAAGTTTTAAGCTCTGGGAATACAGCAGTGAACAAAATCAAACAAGTTCTGTGATGATAATTTTTTATTCTAAATGGTATGGCTAAGCCCTGGATGGTGTGCCTAAGTGGTTAGAGCGCTGGCCCTCGCACCAAAGGGCCATGGGTTTGAAACCCAGTCAAGGGCACATACCTGGGTTTTAGGTTCGCTCCCCGTTCCTGGTCAGGGCACGTGTGGGAGGCAACCAGTCAAGTAAGTCTCTCTCACATTGGTGTTTCTTTCTCTCTCCCTCCCTCCTTCCCTCCTTTCCTCTCTCTCTCCCACTCTCTCTGAAAAGCAATGGAAAAAATATCCTCAAGTGAGGATAAAAAAAAAAATTAAAAAAAAATGGTATGGCTAAAGATAAAAAGGTAGGAGTAGGGATATGTATTTGGATCCAGTATAAGAATCAGTTTATAACAGCATAATCCAAAGAATAGATTGGATGATAAATAGATTGCTCTTAAGATCCCTGAACTTCTATATTTGTTTAAAACCTTTAGAAGGGAACATATTATAATGTGTGATTCCATTTGAGAAGCATAGTCTTGCTGGTTTGTGCTTCTGTCATTCCTACTTGAATTTGAAAATTGCCTGCAACCTAATAAAATGCAGTCCTTGGAAGAGTTGTAGGTAAGCAAGTTATCTACTTGACATTCACTTTGGACATTTGGTGGTGGTCTGTTCTAAAAAACTGAAGTTCAGAGATATAGAAACTAAAAACTCCAGGTATATATATTGATTCTCTATGTTAAATATTAATAAAAATAATTTATCTACTTCTACCAGTTATATAAAGTGATTTTGCTTCATTCAAGTTATGCAAAAAAAATCATATTTTGGAGTTATCTTTTTATATAACTTCCTTCTATAAAATCAGAGAAGATACATGGATTTATTCCAGCCCCATAATCTAATGTCACATTTGTTTGGTTGCCAAATAACCATTTGCTAGAGACATACTGTTCCCATAACCCTTATATAATTTGGAATGAATTACCTTCTAAATGTGGTAAGGAGACATTTTTTACCCAGTGTGTACTCTTAGAGAACATTTAAAATAGCACATATCATTTGAATGTTTATCTTTAGCCACTGCTTTTTAATCCGATAAATTAATACATATTTTATAACAACAGTAATGGCTATAATGATAGATAATGCTTAGTATCTAGTATCTAAATGCAGGATTAGACATCATATTCTATCCTTTGTACATAATTACATGTACTGATGTTCCATAACAAAGTATTTCTTCGGAATGTTTGAAAAGCCCCACCCAGCGTGGATGCTGATGTATATTCCCCACTTAGAACACTTCTGGTTGTGTGCAGTCAAGAACTCTTTCCCTCATCGTGTACAATCGTAAAGAAAGAATGGGAAATGGAACTTCTAAAGTGACAAAGGGGTGGTTCACCAGAGTTTCCACTCACGTACACACCACTGAATCAGAGAGCCTTAGGGACATACAGGGGGATGGTGTGGGAGAGGGTTGGAGAGCCGAAGGCAGAGACGCTCCCCCTCTCTTGGTCCGCTGGGAACTGTTTCTTGCCTTCTCTCCTCTCCCACTTTTGTTTCTCTCTATTCCAGTACCTCTACATTCTTTCCTGTGTACCCTCTTTTTCTCTGACTTAGTCACAGACGAATAAAGGAACTTTGTGAGGAGTTTGTGATGGGTAGCAAATACCCTTGAATTTAGCAATATGGTTTATGCCAATATATTTTTATTAAGAAATCGTTGTGCTGAATTTTGGCATTATCATTTGTATTAATGTGACTTAAATTCATAATTTTTTCATATTAAGTCTAATTTCTCAATTGTCTATCAATTATCAATTAATATACACAATATATCTAAAATCTTAAAGCGATTATTTAGCTTAGGTCAAACCAAAGCATGCTAAGAATGAAACAGATTCTCCTACTAAAGAGTCACATGTTGCAAAAAAATCTAGTTAGTAGTCAGTCTTATGGAAAACAACAGATTTATAATAGTTGGCTCTAAGAAATCATGATTGGCCAATTCAGAAGTTACAAGTCATATTAGAAAGCGAGAAACCTTGAGGAACAGTGTACTTTGACTATTATGATGGCTGTTTCCCGTACTTTAAAACAGGATACCAAGAACAGTATAGGAGAGCTACACTCTACTGGATGGTTCCTGACTCAGCTAATGTAAGCTATGCATAGGATCATGGGCTGAGATGCTGTCCAGAACCTGCATACAAAAACCAGCCTGGAACTGAGGATTAATTTTTTCATTTCCCACTATATTATCAATATATAGATTTTATGTCTTTGGTATTATACTACTGATTTCAGCAATTCATTTACTTCTTGTCAGCTATTTAAATATTACCTTTTAAATAACTTAGTTATGTAGATATTAATTAGATTATAAAATTTAAATGGCTATTAAATTTTTCTAAGAATCAAATGGCAAAGGCGTTTTGCCAAACTTATTCTCAAATTTTATTTTCATAATATTTTAAATGTGCTGTATTAGTAGAATAAGGATATCAGTATTTAGTTGAATATTAAACAGAAAAAAATTCATTATAGACTTACAAAAATGGTCAAGATAGTTGAACCACTTCCATTTACTTACATTTTACTGTGATGTCAATGAATTTTTCAATCAACATTTACCACACATATACTCTGTTGTGCTCACCAAAAAGAAATGAAAGCAAAATCTTCCTTCAATAAATATCTAGGTTAGTGAATCAAACAGACTTATAATACACTATAAGTAGTGCTGTAATAACAGTATGCGTAAGATGTTATAGAGCACAGGTAAGATAATGGTCATTTATTTCTACAAGGGGAGCTGGTCAGGGAGAAGAGCTCATGCTTGATCTGGACCTTGAAGTATAAGTAGAAATTTGCAAGATGGCTGAGTAGGGAATGACGCTCCATACTGAGGGATGAGTGGAAGGGACAACGTAGACCCTTTGTCCCATCCTCTCACCGCAGAACTATACTGCCCGTAGAGGCCAATACAGCAGTGTTGATAATCTGTTTTATTCTCATTACAGGGCGCTTGAACTGGCTGTTAAATACAAAACACATGTTGATACAGTTCTTGCCTACCGTCAAAAGTTTTTGGAGACATTTGGTAAACAGGAAACTAATAAACGATACTTGCAGTATGCAGAAGGTGTAAGTATTATACAATATTTTATAATAATGTATGTGTTTTATAATTATATATAATATTCATCTTAATGAGACAGAATTTGAATAACCCATACCTTAATCTAAAATAATTGCTGTTTGCCTTATGATGTTGTGGTCTTATTTTGACTATATAATTATATTACTAATTTTTAAAAATCTTACAGCTATGTTTTGATTAACTCCAATCTGTTTTTGTAATATCCAATTTGTGTTAAGGCTGGGTGCTAATTAATATTTTAGATAAACAATAGGAATGTCTGGGATAAAGGCTTCTGACTTCTGAATTTTCTTTCATCAGCTGCCCCTTCTGCTCCAGGGGAATTGTGTAAGCACAGAGGCACTGCCCAGAAAATGGATACTCTGTCACCCTGTAGAATTCTAGGGAGCTAGGTTGCACCTCTAGAGGTGCCTAGCCCAAGTGAATTTCAGTGCCTAAGACCAAAGAAGTACTGGTAAACCTTTGCCTCTGAAATTCCAGAATCTCATATTTTATAACTCCAATTAGAAGAGTCATTCCAGTACATATTAGCCCACAAGGAGAGGCAGAACAAGAGAGTTTGCCCCAGTGCCTAGAGCAGAGCTGATTAAAAATGAGCACCCACCTTAAATTTACTTTATTATATAATTTTAAAGCAGGTTAATACTACTATGTTTCTTCATCAACATCATCAATATTTCCTTTCAGTATTTTCACTTTTGGTGCTTTTGAGAACATAGATAGTATAGTTCTTACCTTCAAGGAAATTCTATTTTAGATAGCAAAAACTCAACATTTTGATCTTCTTTCTCATTATATATGTATTCAACTATTACCAAAGTGCAATACTCCAGTCACAACAGTAGTGGAAATGTTTAAAGTGGGATAATCAGAACAACATGGCTGTTTTAGGTAGTTTGCTTTCTTTTCATCCTGAAACTATATAGATTACTTTGACTTCCTATGGCACTGTGTTCCAGTTTTCTACTTTTCTTCTTCATAAGTGTAATTTGGAACTTAACTAGAAATTATAAAGTAGTATTTTAAGATGAAAATTATCTTTGACTTAAAAAATCCCCACTATTTATCTATTGTAGCCAAAACTGTGATTATATAAATTCCTTATTTCAGATCTAAGAGCTGAATACAAAAATATATATTTTTTTAATTTGAGAAATTTATACTAGATATATTGAATTCTAGTGTGTTCACAATGCGAAATATGAAAGTTTAGATATATTTAGGAGTCAAAAGTTTGACATACATTCATATCTATGAGCCTGGAAATGTTTTTTGGGCATTTCTAGTTTAAAATGTGGAAATTTGGGATTCATATAAGATGTACTGTCTTCTAAGAACCCCATTAGAGTCATTGTACCTGGTTTACAATGGTGTTCAGTAGTTTTTGTAAAATAATTTGAAACCTGGCAAATAAAATCCACTTGAGGAATATATTCAATCTACTGAATCATACTCTGTGAAAGAAGAAAGGTAGAAGAACCTGAAAATGTTTAAAACATTATATGCTAGGAGAAAGGAAAAAAGAGCAAAAACCCAAGCAACCAACACTTTGTGAGCAGCATTTCATTAATCTGCATAAGGAACATGAGAAGATACAAATTGGTATCCTTTGAATTTGAATACATGAAAAAACATATATATTCCGTTTGGGAGCACAAGGAAGGAAATGAAGTGAACTTGTGCCTGATGGGCCTGCATCCCCTGTGTTGCTGGGAGCTGACTTCCAGCTGAGAGAGAGGGAGGGTGGAGAGCCACCTGGTGCGATTTTGAAATTACTTCTGTGTGAATAAGAATTGACTAGGAACTAGAATAAGAGGTGTCAAATAGTGTCGACACTCCCTGCAAAGAGAAGGATGTGTTTTAGTGTAGAAGCCACTTGACAGCTGTCATGAGTACGTCCTTATATAAAACTCACTATTAAAAATACTCTATTCCAAGGACTAAATGATCAGAACACTGTTCTATAACTGAATAAATACTGAAGTGAAAGTGAAACATTTATTTTCAGTAGGGCGCCTATCAACTGACACCCTCATTTGTGTTATAACAAGTAACTAATATAGATGTCATCAATTTACTTGATGGACTTCTGGTGTAACAGAGCAACAGTCATTCAGAGTACCATCAATATATGATTTTATTGTGATTGATTTGAGAAACATATATAAGTCAATTTAAGTCTGGAAGAAGGCCAAAGCATTCATCAAGTTTATCTTTCTCTTTGCAAATGGTTTGTTAGACATAGAAACAAATGTTTTGCCATTTAAAAAAATATAAAGTTCTGGCCTGATTGAAAAATTGGTCCTTCAAATAATCTAACATTTGTCCTGCCATACAATGAGCTGTTCCCTGCAACTTAGTACAGACATTCATCTTCTATTAGAAAAAGTGTATGAAATTATTATCTTTTTAAAAGTTGACCAAAAATATCCACAAATTAATTCACAGAAATTTGGACAAAGGGTACTGGAATAAAAAAAGAACCAAGTACTTAATTCCATCAACTTCCAGCATGAAATAAAGGAGGCATGAATTCCTGTTAAGGTTAAATTAATCTCTTGGTTACTTAAGGTAAATCTGTTCAAGCAGCAAACAGTACTTCAGCATAGTATATTACTACTTATTCCACCCAGTTCCCCTACATGGCGGTGAAAACCTATTTACTTTTGGCTCAGTCTTAGGAGTTTGTGTTTATTTCATAGTAAATCAGAGTTAGTTTAGCCTAGGACCCAATTTTTCCCATGTCTTGCCTGAGGACACATCCCTTAATTAGTGATCTCCAAACTTTTTAAAACAGAAGAATGCTTTTTCTTAAAGAAATTGTTCATAGAACTCGGGGCAGAATCCATTCCTGATACCAAATATAATGAGGGCAGGGCAGAGATGCTACATCAGGAATCAAAGGGAAGGAAACAGAAAAAATATTTTCACTTTTCAATGATTCTTTTTATATGTGTCCCAGCCTTGCTTTCCCACTACTTCCTCTAATATCTTGACATTATTGTTTTAACCACTATGACTTTATATTATTTTAAGAGTTGTTGCAGAGGAGCCGTTTTTGCAGAGTATGCTCAGGGAAGCAGATGCTGCCCTGTCTTTCCTCACAGGTAGGCCTCTAATGGAAACCTCCTATGTGAGCGGTGAAGAGCTGCCCGTTTGCAACAGGCTTGGCGGAGAGCAGCCCACATTCACCCGTTTCCCGAGGCACCTGTGCGGAACCCTAAGGCTCCAAGGCACTGTTTAGCTGTGCCTTTTATAAATAGCTGCAACAAGATTTTGGTCTTTTGAATCACAGTGAGAGTGTTTGCTTTTTATTGTGGTTATTGTTATGCTTGGTATTATTCTTAAAGTTATTATCATTATTTTTTTTGAGCATTATTTTTTCTTAACTTTTCTTTTATGCCCTTCTACTCTAATGTTTTAGAAGTTATGCATTCTATGTTTGTTTTTTCTTGGTTTCTTCGGATTGAACAAAAGTATCTTTACTATATAAGCACGTTTCCTCTTTTCTTCTACTGCAGCTCCAAATAGACTGGGAGAAAATCAAAGCCAAAATTGAGCTGGAAATTACTAAAGAACGCGAGCGATCATCAAGCAGCCAGCTCAGCAAGAGCATAGGTCTAAAGCACTAACTGCCATGCCTACCTTCAAGAAGTTTTACCTTTGAAACTAATTCTGGTTAATCAAGGGTAAGCATGTATTCTTTGCTAAAGAGAAAGGCAGAATCTTAAAGTATAAGCCCTTGCTGTTTGTTTAATACTACAAGTATATACAGAAAGACTAAGTACAATAATTGATGTAGTTTCATCTTTTATATTTTTAGTCCAATAATTTGCAAAACATTCCTATATATTTATGATACACCTACATAGTGTTGCTTACATTCCAGATTTTTGTCCATTGTTTTATTCCTGAATCTTCAGCATGAACAAATATTAATGCTGATAATAAAATATTGGACTCTTTAAAATGTACGTTATTATTGATTTCTTTTCGACCTCTAAATCAGAAAGTGCTCTAAAAGTTTATTTGTACAACAAGAATACATGAGGATGGATTTATGAAAATGTATAATATATTTACTTGTACAACAATGTTCATAGCACTATTCACAGTAGCAAAAAGGTGGACAAAAAGATGAATGGATAACAGATGACTAGATAAACAAATATATATACACAGATAATGGAATATTATTTATCCTTAAAAAGGAGTGACTTTCTTGCACATGCTACAACATGGATGAACCTTGAAAATATTATACTAAGTGAAATAAGCCAGACACAAAAGGTCAAAAGTGTGTGCTCCCACTTATTGGAGGTACCTAAAATAGGCAAGTTCATTGAGACAGAAATGAGAATGGTGGTTGCCAGGGACTGGGGGAGGGGAAAATGGGGGAGTTATTGTTTGTTAAATGAGTATAGAATTCCTGTTTGGGAAGGTCTAGGAGAAAGGAGAGGTCTGTGGGGCAAGTGGGGAGACACAAAGTCATTTTTCATTCTGCCTGCTTTACTCTAAAGCTAACCTTTCCCTACAACTTGACTTGAGCTGTTGGACATCACTCCTGGCCATTTGTGACCCAATGGATCATATGCTTACCATGCACTGTACATAATTTTTTAACTGTAGTGATTTCTAAAGTAGACAGTTTCAAAACAGTTTAGAGCAATTCAACTTCTCAGATGTTTCCAGATGTTATGGGTTATTGAAAGCTACCTTCTGATACTTTTCCACTGTAAAACAGTGTTCATATTAAATTTTTAAATTGGTAAACACATTAGAAATCTGTGGAAGTAAGGCAAGTGGCTATAAGCTTATCTCTATTTGGGGAATATTATCACCAAAATAGCATTTAAAATGATTCACTTCAGAAGCAATAAAACCTCTACCTAAAGTATATTTTCTTGTTCTCAAGTCAACTGGGACTGTACCAGAGAGCTCATTCTTTAAACTAGTGACAAATAATGTTTACTTCTACAGGAAAAAAATAAACTAGAGTTTGTAAGCCAAGACAGTCCACATGTCTAGCATTAAGTGCTAGAATGTAATCTCATAGAGATTAATATTTACAATGTGCTAGACTATTAATTCTTGAAATAAAATGTAGAGATGGAGAGCAGTTGTCAGGGGTTAGGGACGAAGGAGAGGGAGAAGGTAGATGCAGCTCTAAGGCGATGCAGGGCAGCGGGAGGAAGCTCTGTGGTGATGGAACAGTTTTGTATCTTGATTGTTGTGGTGGTTACATAAAGCTACACGTGTGATAAAATTGCATAGAAACAAAAGCCTGGGATAATTTAGTTTTCAGTACCTCACCATTATAGCAGTGCCTCCACAGGTTTCCTTGCAATCAGATCCTTGCATAGGACCTGATGATTTCCATGGGATAGATTTCCAGTTGGGAACATAACTGCTAAATCGAGGCTATGTACATGTAAGGCTTTTGATGACTGTTAAAGGCCTGCTTCTGACACATTCTGAAACTTAGGGGCTCCTCGAAGATCAATGCAGAAAACTTTTCCGTGGCCTCAAAGCTTTGACCCTTCTTCGTCTCTCCCAAATCCATTTGCAGTGACAATGCCAGCCACCTTATATGTAACCTTTACTGAGTGCCAGGCTCAAAGAGCTTTACCCTCTGATATACTGCTTTTAGTTTCCTTTTCAGAAGAAGAAATTGAGTCAGAGAGAGGGCAGGCAGTTCAACTGGAATCACAGCCCTGATAAGCAGTAAATCTGGGGTCATGAGCCTTGACAACCCAGTCCCAGAATCTATACTGCCCACTGCTTCTTGGGATGTGCTTTTTTTTTTTTTTTTTCAGTTGAGATATAATTGACATATAACTATGCATTAGTTTTAGGTGTACAACATAATGATTTGATTTTGTATATATTGTGAAGTGATCACCACATTAAGTCTAGTTAACATCCATCACCACACAGTTACCAAAAAAAATTTTTTTTTCTTGTGATGAGAAACTTTTAAGATTGACTCTCTTAGTAACTTTCAAATGTACAGGTCTTCCATTTTTTGGTTAAATTTATTCCTACATATTTTATTATTTTTGATGTAATTATAAATGGGATTGTTTTCTTAATTTCTCTTTCTGATAGTTATTAATATATAGAAATGCAATTGATTGTTGTATATTGATTTTGTGTCCTGAGACTTGAGTGCATTTGTTTATCCTGGGTTTTTTTTGTAGGAATCTTTAGGGTCAATGTGTGTTTTAAGTATATTTTTATAATTTATAAAAGGAAAAAAAGGCTTTTAAAAGGTCTAAGAGAAATAACATTTTAGGAGAATAATTTGAAAGTTATGTAGTTACTCATTCCTTTAGTGTATAACCTGTTTTGGGATTGGACCAAAGCATCAGGAGTTGAGTTCCAATACTATATTACTCAGACCCCTTGAAGAAGTGTAGTGAGCTACACTTTTATGCCATTGGCCTGTACTGAGGATCTCATTTTTAGAAGCCCCATGGAACATATTTAGTGAAAAGATGGTTGAATATGTTATGCTTGACATGACAGTGTCTTCTTTATGAGAGCTCCCAGGACAAGCTTCTTCCAGATCTCAGTGCCAGGAAGAGTTGTGCTTCTCTCAAGCAGCTTGTCTGGTTTTTATTTACAAACACTGAATCTTTTAACTGATCTGTTTCTTTTTTTGTATTTCCTGCTAAAAAGCTCAGAACTAAGGTATAGCCTTATTTTTCCAACTCCTCTTTCCCCCTTTGCCTTGGTTTCTTCATTTACTTTTTGGGGGTATTTTTTGTGTGCCCTTTTTATAAACGACCTTAAGTCAGTTGGGTGTGAGTTAAAGGAGAATGGCAGGCTGGATGGATGGGATAATTAATTGATGTACTTGGAGGTTTTTTTAACCTTTAAGTTTTATCTTCTGGAGCCCTGTAAAATAAAATTAATTCCATTTCTATAAGTTTGCCTTTTAAATATTTAATCACAGTTATTTTCCCTTGGCTATCTCTTCTTCAGGTTAAAAATCAGAAATGTTTATATAAAAGCCTTTATATCAGACTCGGTTCCACCATATCCGAGGTGGGTTTCAGTGTGCATTGGGCCAGTGCATTTGCCCCCTCTACCTCCCTAAGCTGCACTCCCCCAGCAGCCTGTACCCTCCCTCCTCTGCTCCCGCAGCCCTGGTGTCCGTTCTCCAGGACCCACTTCTGAGGCCACTGCTTCCCCCTTGTCATCACTCACAGCTTCTCTATGAAGTTTCAAGATCCAGTATCCCAGGCTCCTACACCAGTGGCCTATCCTTCTAGCTCTCCTTACTTTTCTCCCACTATGCTGGTCCCTCAAGATGTCCACACTCCTAACCGTTTCCATTGTATTTAGAGCTCCACTATTAGCCCTTCTTTGCCTGCCCAAACCCAATTTCTCTTTTTCTACCCAGGCTTTTACCCAAGTGTATCACCTCAACCAAAACCAGTCAATAAGACCAGTTGACAGTTTTTTAAAGTTAATTTTTGTTTTTCCTAAAAGTGTTTCCGCTCTTAATTCAAATCATTAATGCCCATGATTTGGAAAAGTTTTTGAATTCCCACAAGTTTATTTAAATATCACACCAAGAGCCCAGTGTCAACCATTATGTGTATACTGGCACTTGAAATACATTTTTATGTCCCAGGCATAGTGTTAAATGCTTTCTGTACAGTACCTTAATATTCATTGAAATTAATACTTCATTTGAGGTAGGTACTCTGCCCAGTTTACAGATGAGAAAATAGGGTTGGAGAAGTTAAGCAACTTGCTTATGGTCACATAACTAGTAAGTGTAATGTCCAGAGGTTCACCCAGGCAGCCCAACTCTAAACCAATGTGTCAGACTGTATGAAGTCTTAACAAACGGTCATACTCTACCCCAAGAATCACAAGCAGAATCTTCATTTAGGAAGCTATTTTTGTCCTTGCTTCAGTATTGGCTGGCACTGGGTGTTTGGTTCTAATGTTAGAGTCTATGGTTCTCATTTTTATGCTGAATATAAAAACACCATTCTGTTTCTTTTCTTTTTTTAAAATATTGGACAAGATTCACCAGCTATTTTAAAGAACTGTTTTTTCAATTTTTAAAATTAATAAAGTCAGACCAGGAAAGAGGCACATTTGTTGCTTAAGGAATTGACTGAATAAAATGGAAAAAAACAATATCTGAGTTGTTTTTGACCACTTCAGGTTTTATCAATGAGACATTTCTGCATTCCCACAAATAATTTTTTGAGTTATTAAAGATTCCTGGCTCAGATTCTATAGTACATTTAATAATTTTTTCTTTTTTAAATATATCTTTATTGATTTCAGAGAGAGGAAAGGAGAGGGAGAGAGAGAGATAGAAACATCAATGATGAGAGAGTCATTGATCGACTGCCTCCTGCACGCCCCCGACTGGGGATCGAGCCCGCAACCCGGGCATGTGCCCTGACCGGGAATCAAACCCTGATCACCTGGATCCTAGGCCGACGCTCAACCGCTGAGCCACGCCCGGCTAGGCAATAATATTTTCTTAAAACAGCAAAGAACAAATAATAGCTGCCTTATTTTGCCTGTGAAAAAAATAGAAAGCACCCGGCCGGGCGTGGCTCAGCGGCTGAGCATCGACCCAAGATCCAGGAGATCTAGGTTCGATCCTGGTCGGGGCACGTGCCTCGGTTGTGGGCTCAATTCCCAGTTGGGGGGTGTGAAGGAGGCAGCTGATCAATGACTCTCTCATCATTGATGTTTCCATCTCTCTCTCTTTTCCCCTCTCTGAAATCAATAAAGATATATTTTTTAAAAAAAGTGATGTTGATGTGATGCTATGTAGCTACAGCCATAGCCCCGATGATGAGATATTCTGTGAGGTGAAACCGCATGTTGAGAAGTTCAGTGGTTAAGAGAACCAGCTCTGGAGTCAGACAGACTGGATTTGCCTCCTGGACCTTCCACTTATCAGCCATGTAACTTTGGGCACGTGACTCA